AGAGCATGCCACCCTCCATCAGTCTCCATGCACAGACAGAAGGTCTGACATCTGCATATTGCTTTCCTTCCTCCACATGAGCCTGAAGGGTGACCTTATTTTAGCTGCAGGGCTCCTAGGGAGGTTTCTATCTGCCCTCTGTGCAGCAAGAGGAGGTGGCTCATCTCTAGCCAGCACACGTGTGGCTACAGGCCACCTCTGCTAAATCTCTCACCTCTGTGCCCCAGGCCAGCCATTTCGGTGTCTGGGACCCCAGCATATCTGCTCCTCTGGGGCCTGGCCCTGCAGCCAGAGCTGTATGTCCCCAGCTCAAGGGGACTCACCAAAAATCCTCTGGAGAGAGGGCATGGGTCCTGCCACCAGAGCAACACCTGCTCTGCTAGTAAATAAACACCATGTTCTCTGGAAAGGCTAGGTTTGCACCTGGACTTGTGGAAAAAGGCACAGGTAGGAGGTCGATATGATTGCCTCAGTTCTGGTTAGCCACTTCCCATCCTCCAGCAGCCTAGCACACAGTATTCTTGCTTCTAAGAAAATGAGAAAACGGTAACCAGGCAGCAGACACACACCATAGTGAACGTGTGGCTGGAAGCAGTGCCAGCAGCGCACGTGGCCCTGCATAGACACCACATGCCTGCTCTGATCTGACTAGGGCTGGGTTTCTCCCCACCCAGCTCCAGTGGGACAGAGTTCTGCAGCACACTTGCCCTGTCCTCTGCTATCCATGCCCCAGGCCAATTATGAGGACTGGAGTGGAGCTGGCACCCTAGGAGCCTTGAGAACCCCAGTTTGCTTGCTGCCAGACCACCAGCCCCTCTTCACATTGCGTGACCAACCTAGGCAGGGGGATGGGAGGGGAGGTCTCTCCCCATTTTGGACCAGACTGGGACCAGGACATGGTGCCTTCTGTCCCATCTGGCTGGGCTGGTAGCCCCCGGTTCATGCCATAGCTCCTAGCCGCCATTGGGCACAGGGTGACACACAGCAGTGTTGCTCTGGGGCTGACCATGCCCAGCTCCTCCAGCACCCTCAGCTCCCGGTGTCTTGGGCCCTACAGAGCATGAATTCCTGTCCTGGCAGGCTCAATGCAGGTCTGGGGACCCTTTACAGAGCCCCACACAAAGTACAGCTCAGCCTCGCTGCTCCCAGGGCTCATTGGCCCTTGTCCAGTCTCCTCCAAGCTGGCCCAAGGGAGGAAGTAATGCATCTCAGGATGTGCTTGTTCACGCTGATTATTTTTGCAGCATCCTCATCACAAATACACAAAAGGGACCTGTGACTCTCTCCTCCAACTGCCTCTGTCAGCCTCAGCCTCTCTCTGCTCTTTAAGGTACTTAGTGGAAGGTGACTGGAAGGCAGCAGCCCTCCCAGGCTGTGCAGCCCTTAGACAACCATATTCCTTCAGGCCAGCAGATGCCATAACCCCCATCTCAATCCCTCCCACCCTCTGTCACTCAGGCAACTCCCAAACCTCTACCCAGGGTCCCCAGGAAAGGCCATCCTATTGGAGGAGCTGCTGGAGGGACCGTGCCTGTAGAGCTCCGAGCACAGCAGTAAGGTCAGCCCGCTGAGCCCTTAGTGGCATGCTGGGACACATCACTGCCCTGAACTGGTGGCAGCTGGCAGTAACACCTGTGAGCATGTCCAAGTGTTAGGCTGAACCCCACACAATTGCTGTTTTTCCCATTGTAGGTTTGGCAGGAAGGTGCTGGCCTTAGCTCCGTGCCACCCTGTCCTGACAGAGGAGGCAGGAGGTGCCTGTTAGACTCTTGGGCACAGGAGAGCTGCTCATCTTGGAGCTGTACCTCCTTTTAGTCTGACCTAGATGGGGATTTGTTTGGGATAGTTGCAGAGGTCAATCTGCACAAGGATTAACAAAGTCCATGATTGTGGCTGGATATTTCATGCAGTGTGTTACACCTCATTAGCACCATCAGCACTTGATGGCCCTTTATGCTGCGGGGCCAATGGCACAAACGTGAGCCACTCATACCGTACTGAGAATCACAGGCAGCACCCAGCACTGTGGAATGCCCGTTGCTGCCCTTGGCTCTACCCTCCTTCCGGCACGTGTGGCTTTTTCTGGGCAGGCACTGGTGAGCACGTCACAGGCCCTGGAGGTGCCATGAGCCCTGGAAAGGCTCCTACAGTTGTTGGGACAGCTGGCCTCGCAGCATGGCCTAGAGTGATGTGGGCCACCCGACTCAAGGGGCTAGCCAGCCCACGAAACCCCAAGTGCAAACCAAGTCCTCCTCCCAGCAACACCCAGAACAAACAACCCCTCCAACATGTCACTAGGTCTGTTATTTTGCTGCAAGGGTGTATCAGCCATGACATATTTGGGGGTTGAATATATTTATATATGTAGTCGCTTAGCAACATTTTCAGTCATCTTGCTGGGGTGTGAGCTGGCAAATGGCCTCCATGGAAGGCAACCACATGTGGTTCCCACAACAGGAAGTGGCTAGTTCCTGAGTCATGCATCACAGCAACTCAGAGACCAGGCTGTCAGCTGGGCTGGAGGGGGGCTTTTAAAAACAACCTTCCCACACATGCCAGTACCTCAATTTATGCTGCCCACAGAGGGAAAGCAACTGTGGGTGGAATAAATACCAGACTTGGAGTTAGACTGCAAGGGTGAAACACCTGGGTGCAATGACTCACAGGGGGAAAAACATCCCAAGTGACATTAGGGTCACCCCCATCACCAGCCACCCACTGCATGCAGGACATGGACAGTCCCAGCAGCTCTTGCTGCTCTGACCCCTTTGATGTTAGATGCATCTTCCCACAGTGTGGCATGCCCCAGCCTGACCCCACCACACAGCCAAGCACAATGGAACACCACCTCCACCCCCAGTCCATCAGCCCCATCTTTCAGCTGCCCTTTGAGGACTCAGGGGCCTTTTGGGGAGGCATATCAGCACCCACATCATGCAGCACAAGGAGACTGATAGCAGGAACTGCCCCTACTGTAGCCTGCTGTACCCAGGGCTCATCTAGGACCACTCAGAAATGCCAGCTGAGCTCTACAGCCTGGCTCTTTCCAAGGACATCAGCTGTCCAGGAGGGCCAGAAGTAGAAAGGCACAATCTCATTCCATCCTGGACTGTCCTTCCTCCTGAGCACTCAAGTTTGCAGCATTGACATCCATTCAGCTGACTCTGGGTCACAGGCCCCAAGCTGGCAAATTATATGACCAGCACGCTCATGGACAGCACATCCCATGAACTAAGTGGTGGGTGAGAAGCAAAAACTGCCTCATTTCCTACTCAGACACTTGCAACAGTGATGCACATTGCACCGCTCCATGAGGAAGTCGCAGGGAAGGAAGGGTAGCATCGTGAGACAAGAGGCAAGCAGAATCTCTCCACCCTCTCCCCATGAGTTCCTCCTGCTCATCATACATTCAAGAAGCAGTTTCTGTGGAGGGAAAACTTCTTTCAGGTGGACTGCGCATCCCACACAACTGCCAAATCTTGCCAAGCCAGAGGGCTGCAAACCCATGTCCCCTGAGCTCTCATTCCCAGGGTTGTTGCAAGTGGCAGTAACCAACAAAACATCCCCAGGGCTCATCCTTCAGCAAGTGAAGTCCCCAGAGCAACATTTGTATGCCATGTCACCCACAGACACCCCAGCCTTTCTAAATGTATTGGGAATAAAACCATGGCTGCCAATTTGGCTCTATGATGGAGTCTAGCTCTCCTCTTTTTTTCTTTAGGTCAACCAAGAAATACTCCCTGGGATGTATCTTCAGGGTAAAAACACATGGCTTTCAAGAGGAGAATCAAGCCTACAGCTGTTTCTCCCAAAGCCAGGGGATGTGAGCCTGAGGCACGAAGAAGCCATGCTCTAAAACAGCACAACAGCCAAACCATCCTGACACAGCATCAGGCCTCCCAATGCATAAGATCCAAGCCCTGAGATGCTGCAGTGTACATCGCTTCCCCATAGGGCTCCCACAGCCACCCTGGGTGCCTTGCAAAAATTCAGTCGTGCCTGGGAGAAGGTCCTTGGGAGCTATCCCAACCAGACAACCTACACATATTGCCATTACAGACTGTAAGAGGGCTCCTTCTTGGCAGCCATGGGCTGGTGTGGGACCTGACCCCACTGGCACGTCCATGGAAGGAGCAGGGGAATACTAAATGCACCTGGAAGTGGTCCAGGCTCCACAGCACCCCAGGGCAGCCTCCCACTGGAATTGAGTGAAGGCCCTCTTGGCCAATTGAGGAACTAAAGGGGCCAGTCTTCCAGCAGAGATGGAGTTGGAAAGGAACACCATGCTTCAGACAACATCCAACTGGCCCACCTTGCGTTCTGGCTGGCTTCCCTATGCTGTCCCAGAGCCAGAGCCCACATAAAGGGAAATCTGAGCAGCTGCAATGGGGCTTTCCATGGTCCCAACAGAGCAGGACACTTCCCCAGAGGGATGCAAAGAAACAAGAAGGGTTTAAAGTCCTCAGGACCCATTGGGGAGGACTCTAAGGGCCCCTCAGCATCTGCCACAAAGGCTGGCTCTCCCCACCATTCTTTTTATTCACCCACTTCTCCCCAGGAGAGAGCTCAGAACAGGTCAGGTAAAGGGCAATGGCTCAGGGACAAATTAACCTAGCCTCCCCCAAATTCTGCCCCAGCCATATGCAGGCAGCTTGAGCCCAAACACTAGGCTGTGGTCCTTCCCTCTGCCACACTCCTTTCACCCCCTCCTCCTCAGGTGGAGGAAGGCTGCTTAATGCAGTCTTCCAAAGCCTTTCCCCAAAAGATCTCTCACCCCATACTGGATGTAAGCCACCAGAGATGGTGCAGCACTTAGCCCTGTGATCTCAGCAGCCTGTGGTCACCCTGTGCTGCACAGGCATCCCTTTTCCCACTGCCCCTCTCCTCACACCAGCACTGCTCCCACCCCTCTCTGCCTGCCCCACAGCTCCAAGCAGTTTGGGAGACAGGGATGCATGGGGATGAGCTGGACAAAAAGACAAACCAATGCAAAGACAGACTTCTAGTCATAAAATATATACCATCTATGCACTGTATATTGCCATTTTTACAGTATTTACAGCAGCAGTCAGGGCAGAGGCACTTGGCATGCAGGCAAAGGGCCTTATCTGAGGCTATCCAGGCAGAGCAATGGGCCAGCAGTGGATGTCACTGTCTGTGACAAATATCACCATAATGAATAGGCTTTCCTGAACCAGGAGGGGACACTAAGGTGCCAGTGAAGTACTGCAGGCTGATCTTACCCAAAAATCAGCCATAGTTTCTCCCTCTGGCTTCAGAGGCAGAAACCTCCCAAAGCCACTGGGTCACAGCAGCTGGCCAGCCCCCCTTGTAGGGCAAAGCTTCACATCCTCACCAAGAGCTATTCAGATCTTGAGGCTGGCCAAGTCCTTCTCTACACATGGGAGCAGACCAAGGCTTAGCTTAGCTTCAACAGAGCCACCTGTGCCATTTCCAGCAGTCACCAGCCACCAAACACTGGCAGCTCTCCTGGTAATCCTAAGGCAGTGCTGAGGACAGGGCTGCTCTGTGGCTGCATTGGTGTCACCACAGAGGAGCAGTACAGCACCCTCAGCCTCCCATTGCTCCTGCTGGCAGCCTGCCCAGCACAGACACCAGGGCCTGGGGGCTCTGCACCTGCTCCTTTGGGCCCTGGCATCCTGTCTGGGAGACATGAACCCTGCAGCAGGGGAGTGCCTACAAAGCAGGGGAGTCCTCCTAGAAATCAGCTGGAGCAGTGAAACAGAATGGCGACCATCCAGCTCGGTCAGTTTACCACCTATCACTTGTGGTTCAGCTTATGCTCAGTAATACATCCCCTACCTCCCCCCCCATGTACACATACACACACTATTGTCCTGAAGATGGACATTCTCTGGCTGCTCGTCAGAAAGTCTGAACAGATCAAAGTCCATCAGTGCTAAGAGACTGGCACAAACAGATACTCCAGAACTTACACCCCAAACACTCAGATGCAGCATCCTTCTTCGCTTGGTGCCAGTCAAGGAGGCAACTGTAAAAGCAGGTTGCAGAAGGTTGGCCAGCTCAGACAAGATCAGTCCACATTTGTGGTTGGGGCCATGCCAGATGGTGGTTGGTGCTAGGAAGGCTGTTCCCCAGCACAGAATAAGACCACATGGCATGGAAGTGCAGTCCTCTGCATAGGCAGTGGAAGAAGTGGGCACAGAAACAGAGGGTACATCAAGGACACTCCAGGCTCATCTGCTGTGGATCCTCCTCTCCAAACTCTCCACCAAAACCACATCTTACATCTCTGCAGGACAAGCAAGGGGATAAAAACAGTGAGTCCACTGCAGAGAGTAGCAAGGGGCTGCACAGCACAGTGAAAACCCCCACCCAGAATAACTAGCAGTGGGTGTTGGAACAGAAACCTGAATCAGGACTCTGGCTCTTGCTTGTAGTGACTCCCAGTATGACTCAGGGCCCACAGAGGCAACATTTCCTCATCAGCCAACTCATTTTGGACACTCAGAGGGAAGGGAAGAAGCTACTGAGAGTCAACTCATTGTGTCTGTGTGGGGAGGTGAGGGGAAAGGGGAGTTCTCACTGCCTCCAGCCTGCTACCCAGAGTTCCTTCAGAGTGGGATTGTGGCCACTGTGCCTCAGTTTCCCCAGCTGTGAAGCTATGGGGACTCCCCAACTTCACAAGGCTGCAGAGCTGCCTGGGTAAGCAGCTTTCCATAGTTTCCATAGTTTTTCTGTGTTTTCTCCATAAACTTTCCATAGCTTATCTACCATCTTCCCCATGCTACCTGCTACCAAGCCCTTTGTCAGGAAGAAAGAACTGTTTTTTTGCAGAGTCAGACCAACGTGCCTGTGCTTTCAGAGGACCAGGCTCCCACAGAGATTGCTCAAGGGTGGGAAACCTAGGTTGGGCCATATCACTATGAGAAAATACTTCCTCCCTCCATGCTCAGTTCCTTTCTTGCAGCTTAAGGGCTTTTCTTTGCAATCAGAAAGATATTGGAGGCACAGAGCCACAGCAACACCTGTAGGCCTTCCTACAAATGCCAGCCTAAAATAGCTCTATATAATCTACTGTTTTGCCATCTTTCCTCCAGTTTTTCATTGTATGGCCAGCCTGGGCTTCAAAACCCCAACCCCCTCCAGCAGGGCAGCACTGCCACCCACACCTCACAAATTGGTGAAACTGAAGTACAAGGGAAGAGGCACAAGCAGTGGAATTTCTTCCCCAGCTGAGAGCTTGAAGGCATTCACAGATGCTATCTAGATGGGGCCCAGAACTGAAGGAGTTCACTACAGGAACAAGATTCCACCTCTGCTGCTAAAGACAGTCTAACCCTTCTTGAGTGGGAATCCCAGCTATGAATAGTGCTGGGCAAGGCTCTTCTGAGCCAGATGAAGCAGCAAAGCCCCAGTCCAGGGGTTGTGCCATGCTGTGTTCCTGGGACAGGAGAAGGGTAGAACATGGCCAGACTTGCCATGTAGACTGAACTGGCACCCCGAAACAGAGAGGGTGATTTGTGCCCTGACTGCACACTAATGTCACAGCACAGCCAGTTCTGGAGAAACTACAGGCATCATGAAGGCTGTCCCATGCTTGGGCCAAGTTGTAGTGATCAGGGCTGTATACATACCCTCTAGCACTTTATCCAGATCTGCAATGAACTCTTCCAGCTCCTGTGTGTCTCCAAGCTTAGCTAGTGGACAGAAAGACACCCTGTCAGGCTTCTCCTTCTCTTCCTGCTTTAGTTTAGGTTAAACAAGGATCCCTGACCCTTGTTTCTGATGAAAATTGCTCAGGCTACCTACTGCTTTCATAAGAGTCATGCGCACGTCTGTGCAGACTGCCCGTGAACACATGGGATGGAGGTTATGTAACAGCTGCATTTGCAACAGGTTCTAGAGCAAACACTGCACAGCTCTAGAATAAACCCAAAAGCCTGTGAGCACAGTGTCTCTGTGGGTCAATGCATCTCTAGGGGATTAGAGTCCTTATTTGTATCAGGACACTGAAGGCACCACAGATATGCAGTGATGAATCTTTCAAAGCAGTTGTCCAGCACTGCCAGGTTCTGGACTCCTGCACTCACATGGGGCTTAATACCTGATCTATCAGGAATCTTCTCTAGGGCCAGTATGTTCCCCTCCACATACATACAGGGGTTGCAGATCAGAGCTGGGAGTTACAGGGCTGAGGAGCAAGCAGTCTTACCCATAGGACTGCCTGAGGGCAGCATGGAAGGGAAATCCCCGGGACTAATTCTGACCTAAAGATACAGGACATCTCCCCCCACCACCAGAACTAGCCTTCTTCAGAAGGAGCTCTACCCTCCTCCCAGCCCACTTAGCCCCAAACTCTGGAGGCTGGGACATTCCCAGAAGGTATTGTACAAAGCAGCACCCTGAAACCCAGCAAGGGCAATTCAGGCTGAATATCAGGAAAACAAAGGCAGAACCTCATCCTCCCACTCACATGAGTTAAGTTAGCAAGGTTAGAGTTGGATCAGTGCATAGTGGGAAGAAAACTACAGCTTAAGTCCCCTGCATCGTTTAATCTCTGCAAGATCTCCTGAATAGGGTCCTGGCTCAGTCTAGGACTAACTGATAACATGCTAAACCAGCTTCATATCCGTTGCAGGATCCAGCCAGGGCCTCAGATCACAATATCTCTCCAAATCCTGCAACGCACCACAGGCATGCACACACACACCCCCTTCACAGGCCAGAAGGATGCCTGTTGCCGCTGAGCCAGAAAGGGGTGATCTCAGGTGCCAGATATGGGACTTCCCTTATTGCTTTAGACTCTTCTCACCAAGAACACACATGCCTAAGAAAACTCTTGCAAACAGCCTTTCAAACATATTCCAGCCTTACCTTTAGAGGTGTAAGCATTAGCAGGAGCATTGAGATCTTCCTCACTGGAGTTTAGACTGCTTCCTGGGGATGAGCTGGTACCTGCAGTTGCAAAGCATCAGTCACTGTCCAAGGCCCATAGGTTGCAGAACCAGGGGCCTAGCTTGTACATGGAAGAGGATCCCTAGTTTACCTACGCTCTTGGACAGCCCATTTGCATTTTTGCCACAAGGAACACTTAGAAAAGGGAACTGAGCTTTTCTACCAGAGGCCTAATAGCATCAAGTTCCCCAGGTACAGCCATGGGGAATCCCTAGGGTTATTACAGAGAACAGAGAGGATCAGAGGGAAACAATCATGTCAAGCCCAGTGCAATTCTGTAGCAGTCAAGCCAGCAGATGCTGACAGGTGCTGACCAAGAAAGCTAGATCCAGTGGTCATCGCAGCCCTCCCAGACAAATCCCAGTGTTACTCATACAACCCTCAAGAGACGAGTCAGACAACTCAAAGGCTGGATCAGCAGTAAGTTTAGTGATTTACCACAGAAGAACCAGAGTGCTCAAAGCCGTTCTGTCCTGATAGCAAAGCTATCCTCCCCCACAGCTCCTAGTCGCTTAGCCCCAGACTCACTCTCTAGCTCATCAATGCCACTGTCATATACACTGTGGCCCACTTTCCTCTTCAGCTCTTCCAGATGCTGTTCATACTGACATGCAGGGCCCCTGTCAAAGTCCTCAATCACCTCATCAAACTCCTGCAAAAGGCTGCTTAAGTCATCCGGCAGTGCTGTGGGACAAGAAAAAAAAACAAAACAAACTGAGGTTTCAGACAGGTACCAGGCAAACAACCCCAGCCAAAGCTTTTCTGGAGCAGTAACAGGCTGGTGACAGAACAGGCCTAGGCTCTGTACCACAGGGCAGCTAAGCTGCTCCAACAGCTTTGCAGAGGCAGGGCAGAAACTCTGTTCAGTGCAGCAAGCTTGGGGTTCACTTTTTCCCCTCGCTTCCCTGGCAGAGCTCTGAGCACATCCAAATCCTTAGAAAGCACAGTAGTCCTTCCAGCTCATCCCACTGCTGAGCATGAGACAGCCCAGTAAGAGCTAATCCTGGGCTGGCAGCAGGCAGCTCCTGCCTACTGAAGTTCCTTATTCCCCCACCCCATTCCCAGCCAGGTAGATGGGACAAGGCCAAAAAACAAAGAACAGACCAAAGAGCCTGGCACCAGGAGGAAATATTTTCAGGGAGCATCCATCCCCCTGGTGCAAGGAACAATCCTTCCAGGCCAGTGCCCTGTAGGTAACAGTTTTGATCCTGGACCCAGCTTCTCCCTGCACCTTCAGGCAAGGCTATAGCAGGGCCCGGACATATTTTGAGCACAGTTCATCATCTTAAATATACTATAGCTTGTAACAAGGCAGCAGGGCTGCGAACAGACCTATTGAGGTCTGGTGGCTGCTCCATAGGGATACATCACAAGAATGCCCTCAAAGCCAATGGCATTTACTCCATCCCCTTCTGAAGGCAGGGAGACTCCAGCATGCACAAGCATACTGCACCTCACCAGACCCCATTGGCCAGATTGGCCTGACTGAAAAAAACAGAGAGCCCCCACTTGTACTTCCACCCCATGTTAGGATTCTACCCCATGAAGCCAGCCTAGCCCTGGGGAGGGAAGACTGGGGCAGCACCACTGCAGAGAGCTGAGGACAGCACTGCCTTCAAGGGAGAGCCACACAAGGGCCAGCCCGGAGCTCAGGTCACTTTTGAAAGGGAGCTCATGGAAAGGGACAGCAGGCAGGAGAATGTGCACAGCCAGGGCACACTGACAGAGCATTGCAGGAAGACCTGGTGTGGCCTCCAGTGATACAGGCCAGGCCAAAAGGCCCAGCCAGGCAAACATAAGGCCAAGGTAGAAAGCCAGCTGGGGGGTGGCCTTGACCTTTGTTTTGCAGCTTTTAAATCACATCCTTCTCCCAGAGCAAACAATAAGCACTGTGTTGGGCTCACTTCCTCCACACTTTTTCTAACAGGAGTCATCACAAGGAGAGGGAAAAAAAAAGCACGTGCAAGCCTCTTCCAAAAGCAGGTGGCACTCGGGTGGGCCAGGCCCCGCACAGCAGGGCGCCTGTCCAGAGCAGACCGGGGACGGGGCAAGCCCCGAGGCGACGCCACAACAGCGCGGCACTGACAGCTAAGCGGGCGGCAGCACTCACCGGCGGCGGGCTCGGCGGCCATGGTCCCGGGGGCGGCAGGAGGAGGAGGAAAAGGAAGAAAGACCAAAGGACTCTGCGATCCCGACCTACGCCACCGCCCCAGCCCCAGCGGCAAAGCGGCGCAGCCCGGCCGACCGCGCTAAGTCTTATA